ATATGGGTCTTAGGTTGGGTCTTGGTGTGGGTCTTTCGGTGGGGTTAGGGTTGAGGCATAGGTTGTTATGGATTTGGGTCTTTGGGTGAGTTATTCCTAGGGTTCTACCTATGGGTCTTGGGTGGGTTTAGGGTTGAGGTATAGGTTGTTATGGTTTGGGTCTTTGGGTGGCCTAGGGGGTGGGCATGGTTAGAAAATGGAAATGGTAGTTGCTAACTTAAGGTGGGGCTGAATGATTTTGGGCTTGCATGGTTCATGCGAACATGGCGAGATGCTGTGTTCTGTGTCGCCGGTGTCAGCTGACTGATAGCCACCCGAAATCTTAAGCCCTGCTTGGGGTGCTGCATGATGCCGAGACATGTATTGCTATGAGCCGGACCCCACACGAAGAAGCAAATTGAAACGTTTGAACCGCTTGCCACGCAAGGCCGGAAATTCGCATCAAGTCAAAAGCCAATGTGGGCTGTGGCACCTAAAGAAACTAGGCCCTAAGCAAGCGTAAACTTCCCAGTAGCCCTGAGCCCTAGGCCCCATAGTAGTTCCTTTTTGGGATTGCTTTATAGGATTCTAAACATGAATCTCAAAAAGGAACTATAGATGGGGCCTATGGGTGGAGCTATTTCCACAACAAGCAGAAGCCCACAAGCCTCAGCAGTTTGGGCGCCCTTCCGCCTTCGCAGCGCCAGACTGCGCAAGGAGGGGATTGTGTTAAGGCTGTCTGGTGCATAGCAGGGAATGGGGAATGGATCCCTATGGTAGCCCCTTCAGGTCCCCTATAGTAGTCCCCATAATCCATTCCCCCATTCCCTACTGAGCACCAGCGGCTCCTGGCGCAGCGGCGATGTTAGATTTTGGGGTTGTGGACTTCAGTATAGAGGCCAGGCTAGTTTGCTTGTCGTATGTCTGAGGGTTGCTCATTTCAACTGGGCTGCAAGATGCCCCCAGACATCCCGAAGCGCCAGTCTACCCAAAGGCTCCATAGTAGTTCTTTTTTGGGGTTACTCTTTAGAATCCTACAAAGTAAACCGACAAAGGAACTACTATGGAGTCTATGGGTAATCACTAAGGTGGGATCTGATGGGCTCGGCAAGAGTGGGGAGGTTCTGTACTCCGAGTAAATAGGGTCTGTGTTGGGGTCCCCAAAAGGCAGCGGCCCTTTTGTCGCTGATCAGAAGGAACTTCTCTATGTTTGGAGGCCTCTTCTAAGACCTTGTTGAAACTTTAAAGTAATCGCTCTAATGCCCTTGTAAGCCTCACCAAAACTCCCTGGTTTAGAGTACTACGTCCCGCGCATAACCGTGTCACCCTGACAATTGATACCATCATTTACACAGGACCCAAATGTAGAGAACTAGTATAGAAGATGAACAAGTTTAACACCCTAGGCCCTGGGGTGCCTTGTCATACCACAATATACCCCCAAGCCCTATCTTAGTTTGAACTAATTAATTTTCAAGCCCTTCACTAAACCTTCATACTAACCCTTCTCGTAGGTAACCCGGACAGACCCCGTTGGAAGGAACCGTAAAAGGAGGCCCAGTCTAATCAACTCCCTTATACTTCCTGGTTCTGTGTAGGAAATGTGGAATGGATCCCTAAACCCCAAACCTTCAACCCCAACACAGAGACCTCGTCTGGCGAGTCCGAGTTGCGAGAGCCCTACACGCTTTATGACAGTCCCTCACAGTCCCTGATAGTCGTCCCTATGGCCCACTCCGCCATTCCGTACTAAGAACCACCTCGTATACTACCCTCTAAACTCCGAACCCCTAGACTATACCCTAAACCCTAAAAGCCTAAACCCCTAAACGACTACACCCCTGAACCCCGAAACCGCTAAACCCTAAAACCGCTAAACCCAACGCCCCTGAACCCTTGAAACCCCTAAAGCCCGAATGCTCTCCGTGTCTCAGAGGATCGAAGACTTTAGCTTGGAGATCCTGCTACTGGGCTTGCAGGGCTCAGAAAAAAGGAGGTTTCACTAAAATAGTGATGCTAGACACTTTAGGGTTTAGGGTCTAGGGTGTTCACCAAAACAGGTTTTAGGGTTTGGGTCGACGTTTCGCGCCGACCCGCACCTACGGAAACTCGCCTGGCTTGTCCGAGTTGTGAGAGCTTATATAGTGGAATTTAGGGTTTCTAGCTTAGGATGATTTGGAGAAGCATCATCCCGGACCCTTTGGATTAGGAGGGCTTTTGGAGTTTCAGGAACTGTGGACTCCGGTTGGGAAGCACTACGACAACCTTTCATGCCTCAGCAGTTTTCTGGCGAAAACCTTTTTAGGAAAATTAACACTCTTGGCACAGCCAGGGCCTTAGTGCTCACGGTGGGTATCTCAATTTCAGGAAGAGCTTAAGCTTTAGCGTTTATGTAGGGGTCTTAATGCTGGGTTCATTAGCTATTTCGTATGATTGCCGCAGTCGTCCAGGATGTTCATGGAGTAAGCCCCGTCACGCATAAGAGCTGACAGTGTATTCGGATCATGGTCGCCTGTAAGTAGAGGTTTTTTGCATTGTAACATAGGATATGACATTGGCCTCCCGCAACAGGTACGGAGATCAGATATCTGCAAGCCGGGGTTCTGGACTTCAGTTATGCCCTTAACTTAGTCTAATTGCAACCAGCCAAAGACCAAAATCTTCGTAAGCCGAACCGGAACCCTAAACCCTACACCCCGAAGCTTTGGCTCTAAACCCTAAACGACCCATAGGCCCCATAGTAGTTCCTTTTGTACTATGGGGCCTATCGATAGTCTCCCTAGGACTCAATTTGTATTTTTGTTCATAAAAAACCCAGGAGAATGTTAAGCAAATTATGTTTACCATGGTTCTAAGGGGGTATAGACCCTAAACCCCTAAACCCTAAGCCTTAAGCCCTAAACCCTAAACCCCGAGAGCCCTAAATCCCTAAGCACCCAAAAACATCTTCCAGGTTGTCGAAAGCATTGTCGATTGCCGTCAGAGCCTCACGAGCAGAGAGCAGCTTTCACGGGCCCTCAGTCCTCTCAGGGATCCATTGTGGGGGCTCCTTCAAAGGGATCTATATGGGCTATAAGGGGTACCTTGAGGGATCTGTAAGGGCCTCTTTAAGGGATACAGATGGAGGCGTTCCTTTTCGGGATCTGTAAGCATCCTTCAAGGGATGCAGAAGGGTTAGCGATCATTTTGGACAATATCAGATGATGGAGAATTATGGAGGAAAAACTCTTCCATTGCCAACGGGATTTCCCCCACCCTGATGGGCGGAATGTGGACTCGAGTACTTTTCGATACCCAGGGGTTCGATTCACCCGACAAAAAAGCAGCGTGTACTTGGAAACTGGGTGCCGAACTATGCTCTAGATCGCAACGCAAAGCACCTGAGACCACAACGTCCGCGACATATAATCCTGAAAATTGAGCAAATGCGACGTGGAGACTTCACGGAGCGTCCACAGTGACCACATTCGGGTGATGTGTATTGTCGCCGGCCAATGTGGATGCTTGTGCCTGTTGCGGCCCGTACTTTAGTTCCCACTAGTAGAACCGCCTTTTGAGACTTGACATCCTCGGGTAGATATGTTATTGGACCTGGGACAAACACGTATACTGTAGGGGCCTTGATAATTGCCCTTTTTTTGAAGGGGGGGAAGGGGTCCTTATAGTTTTGTAGTATAATGGGCCCCATAACCCTATTCCAATTATTAAGGCCCCTATAGTACAGTACCCTTATGGATCCCTTATGGTAGCCCTTACAGACCCCTTCCAAGGAACTCGATTCGAAGAACTCAGGCCCTATAGCATGCACTCCTGCAAGCTCAGGTCATCGCTGGTTCTTGTATCGGGAAGATGCCCCAGGTGACACACTGCCACATTGCACAGGGGGAAGGTTGAGGTCTGTTTTGAGTGGTTTGGGTTCGTTTAGGGCAGATTTTCAAGTTTAAAAATGGCTCTGTAGGGATAATATAGAGTATAGGGGCGTGCTTAGACTGCGTTAGTCTTGCATTGGTTGGCTTTCTGTTTGACGATGTTGTGATGCTTCCTATTCATACATTGGGGGATCACCCATGCTGTTATAGTCGTGTTTTCTTGGCTGTTCGTTTGGCCTTGGGGACACACTTTCCTGGTTTGCACTGAAATTGGTTGTTTGATTTGTTGTTCGTGCCATCATTTTATATGGCATTTTCCTTCGGTTCGTGTGCGAATGAACCTGCTCAACAGTTAGGAGGACAGGTATCCGTTGACAGGATTGCAGTGCAACTTCGGTGGTTCAAGATGTACGTAGTAGAAAGCCTCACAAGATTTAGGAAGGAATGAAGGTAGGTAGGTAGAGAGGTCGGTAGGTAGGTAGGTAGGTACGTGGGTAGTATGTAGGTAGGTATGCAGGTATGTAGATGAGGTCGGCACGTAGGGTATGTATGTATGTAGGCATGTATGTATGTATATGTATGTATGTAACGTATGTAGTGTGTGTAATGTGTGTAGCGCATGCAATGTATGTAAGTATGTATGTACTTATGCAGTATGCATGTATGTATGTGTGTGCTGCACATGCAAGGCAGCCAGCCAGCCAGCCAGCCAGCGAAGACACAGAAATCAGGCTTTAACCTGCGAATTAGCGGGAGTCTTGTATGTTTTGCATCGTGAAGCCCTGAAATCAGACTGCGCGCAGGGAAAGCTTCGCTTGCAGCGAAACCGGAATCTTGCACAGGTCCTCGCAGTTTGGCAGGCGAAGTCGGCACAGGGACTTTCCAAGGTGTCCATTTGGACAGAAGCCGCCAAGCGCCTGCATTGCTGTGGTGGCCATCGGTGTTCAATACGTTGGGTTCCTGCTGGGGCTTCACGTCATTAAACTTCGGACTTTCATTGTCCCAGGCCTAGAATATACACGGCCCTGCAGTTGAACTTGTCGTGGCGAAGATGGGGGTTGCTTTGTGCCCAGGTGGGCTCCAACGTTCTCTCCAGATTTGTAGTCTTCTAGTCATGAACGCATGTCTTCTTTTCCTTCCGTTGAGGTAAGTATGGGGGTACAGCTCTCTTACAACATCGTCCGGCACACGCCCTTGACGACCTACGCCGAAGTTGCGACTCGCCGGCAAGGAAACCGACCGGACGAAAGCCAAAAGCCGTCAATTACACCCAAGTATTGAATCTAGCGCATGCACATAAACATATCCAATTCGAGCCCCAAAGCCACGGTTCGGTCACGGTTGCACGCCTGCATTAAGACTTAAGGCAATCCTACTAAATCCGATCTGTCCGGGCCGGGTTACCAGGCGGTTTACCGATTTCGCTGGACTTTTTCAACATCGACCGCGTAATGAATTGTACAACGACAGGAAGTGTTGCCCAAAATCGGGGCGATCGAATTCTTTTCGGCTCTGAAAGCAACTTTTGGAACACAGACCAATCTCAAAGCAACCTGCATCACGTTACAAGCGGGCATCCCGAAATCGGGTTCATTTTGTTTTACAAGCTGATGTCAGCATTGCGGTGCAAGGTAATGGTCCCTAGCTCCCTGCATCAAAGGGGCCAAACTTGGTTTGCGGACCCAGTTTCGTAGTAGTAGTAGTAGTAGTAGTAGTAGTAGCAGCAGCAGCATAGAGCCTGGGTTCAAAGTAGTAGTAGTAGTAGTAGTAGTCGTCGTCGTAGTAGTAGTAGTAGCAGCAGTAGCAGCAGTAGCAGCAGTAGCAGCAGTAGCAGCAGTAGCAGTAGCAGTAGCAGTAGCAGTAGCAGTAGCAGTAGTAGTAGTAGTAGTAGTAGTAGTCGTAGTCGTAGTCGTAGTCGTAGTCGTAGTCGTAGTCGTAGTCGTAGTCGTAGTGGTGGTGGTAGTGCTAGTGCTAGTGCTAGTGCTAGTGCTAGTGCTAGTGCTAGTGCTAGTGCTAGTAGAAGTAGAAGTAGTAGTAGTAGTAGTAGCAGCAGCAGTAGCCGTAGTATATCTGGAGCAGCTTAGTAGTCCAAGGCCATACTCTTCCGAACAGCCCTACACCCTAATCGAGAAGTGTATCAAGACCCTAGTCCACGGCCATACTCCAAACCCTAAACCCTAATCCAAGGCCACACTCCAAAACCCAAAACCCAACTCAAGGCCACACTGAAAAACCTCAAGCCCTCATCCAAGGCCATACTCTAAACCCTACACCCCTATAAACCCTAAACCCTCATCCCAGGCCATACTCTTCCCACAGATGCTTCTCCTAACTGTCGTGGTCGCTTGGGCGGATTCAAAGCTGGGCCTCCGCGTTTGGACGCTTGGCTTTTGGGTGTTCGGTTTATACATATATATATATATATATGGGTCGGGTTCTTGTAGGGCTTCAGGGTTTATCATTGTATTCGGTCTATAGAATGTAGGGCTTTGGGGCTTATCGTATTCGGTCTATGGAATGTAGGGCCTTAGGATGCCTTAGGGTTCAGGGTCTTAGGACTTCAGAGTTGAGGATCTTTGGGAGTGAGGGTTAGAGTGAAGCTTTACGTACAGAAAACTGTTTCTGTGGCTGATGAGTTTGGTTCCCTAAACCCAAGCCGTTGGCTCGACTCTGCGATTCGTTGTTGCCTTCGTTTCGGGCTTATGTATCAGCCCTACAAGGTGCGGAAGCTTTACATCCAACACTCAACCTACAGCTTTCTGGTGATAGATGGGTGTTGTCGGAAATAAGAACTCTCAGCAGCCAGCCGGAATCCAAACAAGAGATGTAACTTATGCTCTCTCAGCTTCATGTGAACGCGAGCAGTTTCGTTGAAGACGGCCCGGCAAGTCCAAGATGCAAATAGTTCTGGGTGCTTCTTCGCGAACCGGCCCTAAACCCTAAACGAAGCCCTACGACAAAAGCACACTTGAGCTGACCTGCCCAGACGCCTGAAGCTGAATCTGAAGCTTCCGAAACTTTGTCTGTGGATGTTACGGGCTTCGGGCTTAAAGTTTCTACTCCAAGACCAGCAATCCGGAAGCCGACGGAAAGCTTGTGCCCAGACCTTCCAAAATCCCTTAATTAAGGAATATACCTGAAGTCATATTAGGGACCTTACTATAATTTAAGGTATATTCCTTAATTAAAGGATTTTGGAAGGCCTGGGTGGTAGTCGTGAGCATTCGGGCTAGGGGTTCAGGGTTTAGGGGAAGGGGGAGTGACCCTCCTAGGAGCCTTTTGTGCCACCCTTGTAGTACTGTAGGACCCGTTTTGGTCGGTAGCAGTGGAGATTATAGTAGTGGGTTGGAATGGAGCGAAGCGTTGCAACAGAAAGGATCGCGTGCGCTTGCCTTTGCACCGGGGTGGTGTTGATGTCGACTGGGCTGGCCGCTTGGAAGCAGAGTATCTATGGAGTTTCGCCATGTTTTTTGGACACTTCACAGAATTTGAAAAGACTTTCTTACAGGATCAGAGGGCTCAGCAGGGAGTGCCTTCGAATTCACAGGGCCCTGCGCGGAGTGGTCAGGTTTGACACAGGCCCCTCGAGCTCGTTCGGCATCGCATGCGCGTTCTGTGTCGATGTACTGAGTGTATAGAGAAGAAATTGCCAGCGAAGGGTTGGGCATGCAGTGAGGCTATCGAGTTGAAAATGCACGCCCTCTTGTTGTGAATAGCCCTTCTGTGCTTCAAAAGTCAAGCAAAACGGTGCGAGTCTCTCCACATAGGTTTCCACCACCGTCACCGCCGCGGCCTACGCAGCCAATGCGCTGTTTGGGATCGTAGCCGTACTCCCTCAGGTCAGGGTTCCGGGTTTTGAGTTTGGGCTTCGGGGTTTGGTGGGGGTTTAGGGTTTACAGGGTTTAGGGTTGAGTTGAGGGCTCCAGAATGCAATTCTTCAAACAACATTCCTTAATTTTTGGTGAGGCTGAAGAAGAACAGACCTCAAACCCTAAACCGGATACCTGTTCCATGTGGTGGTTGCTGCGCTCCTAGGATACAGTCGATCTTGGGTTCAGGACCTGGCAGGTCAAGGATCAGCGTGGCGGGTCAGGAATTTGCCCGAAATCCCAAGCCCCGCACGCAAACACTTGATTTTCGTCCTTTGGCACTATTCCCTGAACTATCTCCAAGAAGGTTGTATCCTAGGACCTCAAGAGAATATTTGCTGTAGGTCAGTAGGTTCTGGATGGTATTTAATACTGAAGTTGTCGCTGTTGCAACACAACACCCCAAGTATTTTTAGTCTCACTCAACAGACCTCGAATCATTTGCCTCGCCTGGATCGTCCGAGTCTGAGCGCCGAGACTATCCCCACAGGTTGTCATCAACTACAGGAACAAGATCCTTGGCGGATGTGGGGGGTTGTGACCTTTGGATGAAGGTAGGATAAAGGTTGGGGGGTTTACTGCCTTCGACGAGTTCCTACACCCTACAAATCCCTACACCACTGAATGCCATAAGCACTAATAAACTCTCAGTCGCATGAGAGTCTCTCTTTCGGGCGGACGGGCGCCACCTTCGGATCTGTGCTGGAGGGGTTTAGGGCACTTAGGGTTTCAGAGTTTAGGGTATGGGTGTGGGTTCAGGACCGTAGCCTTAAGGTTAGGGGCTCTAGTAGGTCTGCTTGGATTTATGAGTTAGGTTTCGTTGCCTGCAGTCGGGCTTGACGTTTCGAATGCTTGGGAGGGAGAGGGAGAGACCCTAAACCCAAAACCGTGTTCTGGTTCTTGCCAGGTTTTCGGGATTCGCATCTTCGGTGAACTGCTGCTAGGAGAACGGGGGGCCTTAGGGAGGTTAGACTGTAGTCGGGTTTAGGTTTCTTAGACTCAGGGAATTTCAGCAAGGCCGGAACGGCGCGTGTTTTCACAACTTGTCAGAAATACTTCAAGGCTTTGGCTGTTGATTGCTTGAATACATCCAAGATGCAGCGATCCATGATCTTGCCCTGGATGATCGATGTGTCTATGGAGTGGTGCGTATGCAGAAGATCCCTTGGGGTGTAGGATGCGGGATCGGCTTGTTGCCCGACATGATAACTTTTGCCTGCCTTTTCACCGAGGTGCCCCGACATCAGTTCAATTCTCACTCCGACCGACTCTGGCAGTCATAGTCCTAATGTAGAAGACTCCCCGATAGTAGTCTCCATAATCCATCCCGCATTCCCTACTAAGAACCAGACAGCAATGTAGAAGACGAGAGAAGTAATGAATTAGTAATGCGCGTATCCGCTAGGATTCCGTCGTATCTTTGCAACAGATAGGCAGATAGGAGATCCCGGCTTGTGTATTGCACTCTCAAGCCAACACCCTCAACCAAGCCTCGACCCGGGGAACCTTGCGCCCGACACCCTTAACAGTCAATATCGGACACCCTACACCCAAACCCAGGGTTTTGGGGTTCCTTGTTCTAATTTTAACTATAATGTAATAATGTACCCCCCAAACCTTCTCTATGTCGGACACTTCTACAGACTAAACCCGAAAGTCAGGTCCACTGGTCAGCTCTCTTTGCTGGTAACGGGGATGACCTTTGGAGGGACCCGGCAGCGACGCATGTTTGGGGTTTCGGAAGATAAAAAGTGTTATATAAGGGACTTAAGAAGAGTTTGTGGTGAGTGGGGTGCAAAGGTGCAGGGTTTCAGGGTGTGCTCATTGATGGCTGTTCGTTCGCGCGAGGTTTGCAGGAAGGGTTGAGGGATTGAACGAACAGGCTTTGCAAACGCTAGAGTTCAAGACTCAGGGTTTGGATGGATGGGTTGGTATTTCGAGGGATAATTAAGAGTATTGGAGCTCTAAGGAAGTGACTGTAGGGGAAACCCAGAGACTCCAATACCCCTTAATTAAGGAATATACCATTGTAATAAGAGCCCCAATATGATTTAAGGAAAATTCTTTAATTAGGAGGTATTGGAGCTTCTGGGAACCTTACGAGACGGTTAAACAGCGCAGGATGGGAGCGCGCCTGCACCCTGGCGGCTCAAGGGGTTTCCTGTTAGTGGGGCTTTTGGGGCTTTGGGGCTCAGTTCTTCCTAGTTTTGGGGCTCTGATTTTTTTGTAATTTTTATGGTTTTGGCGGTGCAGGGTTCAAGGCTTAGGGGCTGGAGTTTACGACTTAAAGTTATGGGTCTGGGGGCTGCAGGCTGTGCAGGTGACAGTGAAGATTCAGTGCTTGGGGCTCGTGGTGCCTTGGTGTCGCGGTTTGTGAATTCGGGGTGTCAGGTGTAAGAACTCAGATCTCAGGATTTGCAGTAGGTTCTAGGTATTCGGTTCCAGGAATTCAAAGGTCAGTGCCTTTCAGGATTCACACGACAGTAGTGATGGTCTGATGCAGAGTGGACGGTCTCGGTCATGTCGCAAACACTTCTTGATAGCTGTCAACCACCCGAGACGTGCCAACCCACACCCCCAAACCCTTTCTCTTTCGACCCGAAGCCTTTCGCGCCTCGAACGTCAGCTCGACAAGGTACACAACCTTTGTTGAAGTCGACGACATTGCGCTACGAGCAACCATGTAGCCCGGATCCAGCTTGTAAAGGTTTGATTCTGCTGGTAAAGGTTGGTGCTGACAACAGCATGATTTAGGAATAGGTCCATTTCATCAACCTCCCGAAATGACGGCCACCTCGGAGATTTTCTGCACTAAGAAGAGCAAGGCAGGCCCAGATGGGGTCATTATTCCGGACTGGGGCAGGAGCTTCGAGATAGGATTGCAGCAAGATACGGAGTTCAGTATCTCCATCCTAGGCTTCATAAGCTGATAGCCTGACCATGACGACAACCCTCGGAATCTCACTACAGAAGGGAGCAGCCTCACGTGAATTCTCTTATCAACTCCAATAGATCAACTTGTTCCCACCAAGAAATGCCATCTTTAAGCTGAGTTTTAAAAATCGACAAGAACTCGCAATCTCTGGCCGTTCAACAGTACATCCTAAGCCCCAAATCCTAAACGACCAAAACTCCATAAAGATTCATGGTGGAGGGTTGCTTACAGGGTTCTTTAACGGTTTGTATGGTTGAATTAGGGTCTCATAGAGGTTTCGGTTCCCCAAGCAGCGTGGTAGCACTTTCGGGTATTACGTTAAGAGCGAAATCATTCGGTCAGTTGGTTCGGGCACGTGCAATGTCTTGTCAGGGTTGCCGATTTCGCGGGTTCTCTTAAATCACCGGGGGGAACCGTCCTCAGTCCTCATTGTGTCGGTACGTTTGGGCAGCGATTCTGGGCGCGGTGCCCTGGTCTTGACTGCAGCTTCATGGTTCTTTGGTAGTCATCGTGACACTTGTGGTCTTCGTTGTCGTGGTGGTGATGGTTGTTGTGATGGTCGCAAGGTCGCACAAGAAAAAGTAGGTTAGCTTTGCGGACTCACTTACGGGACTCAAGACCTGTAGTTAGCTTACAGCCCTGCTATTAAGTCCAGATGCCCAGGCTGCTCAATTTCAGCCTGGTTTCAACGCTCATGATGCCGCCGGGGCAGGGAATTTGGATTTGATTCTGCTGCTTCTCGCAGGGGCTCCCGAGTTTAGGAAGATGGGGACACAGGACTGGAGGCAAGGATTTGTTAAGGGTTTTGATGTTTTGATTCGGCGAAGTAGACGTGAAGGACTGAGTTCCCGCATGGAAATCCGACTGCAAATTTCTCTGCAGGATACCAGGCCTAGTCTCATAAGTAGTTGCAGGTGTACTTGTACCGAAGCACACAGCGAGAAAATGGTGGCAAGCACTGCGTCATGAGCATCAATCGAAGGATGATTTGTGCTGGCGTTGTGGCGTTATCAACAAGAGCATCCGCAACTCTAGTCGTTGCAGGACCCCTGAGCTCCTCAAGCCCTGAACGCGCGCCCTCAACAAAAGCCCCCACGACTGAGCGCTGAGCACTTCTGACATTCCCTGACTATGGGTCAAGGACAATCTAATTTTGATACTAATCCGAAAAACAAAAACGACCAGGGACAGCGTTGAGGCAGGGCTTCGAACTTAAGAGTGCAGTATGAGTGCCCGAATGATTGAGGTGAGCACAAGGTAAGGGCTAAGGATTTGAGGGGCTTGCCATGACTCTGCACCGCTTGTTTCCCGCAACTTAGGCATTTAGGTGCAGGCTCTTGGAATTCAGGGTTAAGGGCTTGAGGGTTAAGAGTCATTCAGGTGCAGGCGAGGACACAGTCAGGTGGAGATGCCAGGTACGATTGCATCGTGTGGCTAATTGATTCAGGGCTTGCCTAAGGCAGTTTGCCATCTACCGCGACAAAGACACGCGTCCACTGCCTCCGAAGCCAACAGAGATTGAGATGCTTGGCCGAAACATGCTTCCAGCAGCAGAATGCGGGCGTGATGCATGCAGAATGCGGAAACATGTGACGAGCTTTGTAAGCACGATATAAACAATGTAATATCGGGGCCATATTTTTACTATAATGGTATTAAGGAAGTCCCAAAACCCTATTCCAATTATTACAGTAAGGCCCTTTCGTCAACCCTCAGCCCGCCGCCCTGTCCTCTCGTTGCTTCGATCCGGTACAAGTCGCCTTTTCAAAGCTACATGGATCTTCCTTTCCTTGCTCCATATTCCCCAAGTCGTCCGTCTGACCCACTCCCCCCGGTTCTGAAGCGGAGATGATGATGGCAATGGCACTGACCGTGAGGATGACGATGACGATGATAATGAGGGTGGTGGTCGTAGTGATGCTGGTGGTGCTTCATGCTTTTCTGCAAGCTTAACTTGCGTCCGGGCAGGACTGCTTCCAGAAAAACGGGAAGCCTGATGTAGACCCTAAATCGCCGGATCCTCGGCAGAAGGACTGCTTAAGAAGATTCCTTTGAGTTGGTGTGATGAAACCCTAAAGCTCTAAACCCTAGAACTCCAAAGCCCTGAAATCTAAAACTCAAATAGCCTAAAGCCTAAAGCGAACCGCATGCCTCGCCTGGATTGTCCGAGTGTGAGCGCCACCCAACTTCCAGGATCGACTTGGAACCGGAATCGCCCGCAGAGAGGATGACGACTCCGAAGCCTTTCAAGCGCCAGAATTCCATGGTGCAGGACGGTGGTCGTAGTTGCAGTAGTAGTAGCAGTGCAGTAGCAGCAGCAGCAGCAGCAGGAGGAGGAGGAGTAGTAGTAGTAGCAGCAGTAGCAGCAGCAGTAGCAGTAGCAGTAGCAGAAAGACCGCGAAGAGCTTGTTTCAAGTCCCAACTGCTTGAACCCTGGGCATTGGCTCCGGATCGACATTGCCCACTCTGAAGCCTTAGCTTCCTAACCTCTCAAGCCCGCTCTGATCACCTGCCAAGCAAAGTCCTCAGCGTTGAGATCTCCTTTGATGCGCTACTCAGACGATCAGGGGGAAAAACATTGAACCCGACAAAACTAAAAACAACTTACCCCTAAACCGCTAAAACCTGAACCCCAAACCATGTTCTTCCGCGAGGCTTTCGCCAGTTTCGGATCTTCCCGGTGCCTCTCTGAGCCCTTTGCCCGAACTGATGAAAGGGCCGCACCACTCCCTTGTAAGGGCTCCATTAGGGCTTCCTTTAAGGGCTCCTTTCAAGGTTGTTTTCAGGATTCTCTTCATGATAGTAGGAGCCTTGCGCAGTTGTAGTAAGGAGCCTTGACATTGGCAGTTGTTCAGGCTTCATTAGCCCGGGTCTGGATGCTTTTGGCGTATTGTCAGTGGTGAAGACAACGTCCTTTTCCAGGGCTTGCAGACACTTTCATCGAGCTGCGGCTGCTTGAGGCCTACATTCTAGCCTTCTTCCATAAGTCTGAATTCGAAGGCCCTAAATCCGAGAACCTAAACCGTAAACCATGAAGCCTATTCTAAAACGCTCTTCGCGGCTCGGCCGTTTCTGTGCTCTCTGCGCGAGCATCACCAAGCCGAGCTCAGGGTATGGTGCTCTGATTCTTTGCAGATGCCAAAAATCCCCAGCGAATGTTACGGTTTAGGGTTTTGAGTCCAGGCCCCACCCTTGCCCCAAACCTACAGCTCTAAGGGTTTATAGAAGGAAATCAAAAGGACGAACCCTAAAAAATGTAGGGTTTGTAGGGTCCAGGTGAGCCCTAAACCCTAACAGGGGCACCTGTGGAGCCGGAAGCCATTTTCCATTCCATTTAAGATGGTAACTAACTAATGACGATAAAGCCATGACAGGCACAATATTGTTCCACCATAATGCCGCCCCCAAACCCGACTTGAACGATTCTTGTCCTACGTTAAACTCCAAAACAACGATAAACAAAAGAACAGGCAACTCTACACAGATTCTGCGTTATGGGAGTTTCCGAAAATAGCCTAATATAGTACCTTAATTGGTAGGATCCTTATTCGAAGGACGCAGAAATAGGGTACCCGAAACTCCCCCATGACTAGTGACTAGACTATAGCCGTCCCTGCGAGGATGGTCGATGCGGAGATGATGGAAAACAACGTGGCTGCACCAGCCCCAGACATCAACATAGAAGCCTGAATAACTACCTATGTGATTCCTTGGGCTTCCATGGTGTAGATCTAAGATAATGTACACCAAAACCCTCTCCCAACGACCAAGGCCCTATATCAACTTTAATCTTGAGAATGGCTTCTTCGAGGGAAGGTTTTCGAGTGTGGCATGTGGGATTTGGTGCATTGGGGAGCTGGGGTCTGGTGGCCGATTCAGGCACCTTTGGGTGTTGGGGCTGCGGGTTTGCTTGCACGAACCCGCTCTTAGAGTGTTCGCAGACTCCAACTCCGCGGGTGGAGGTTGAGAGAACTCTGGAGTCAAGAGTATCAAAGCAGATGATTTTCATGCTTGATTCAACGTGATCGGTGTCATGCTTCGCGTCAGATGAACCGACATGATACGAAGAATACTTTGGTTCCAGGAAGGAAGGCACACAACGATGACCACAAATGTAACGTGTGCATTTCGAGCATCTTCGTTGATGCAGTTCCAGTGGTCTAGGCTTTTGACATTGCGAAGTAAGGTCATCAGATCCAGATCGAGTGCATCTCTGTCTCAGTTCGCCTCCTGGCTGCGCCTTAGTGCGAGACTTTACCGAGCACACCTGTTGCTCTACACACTTTTGCTGTCTGACTTGGTAGAGTTTAAACCTGAGAAGTTCGGACTATGTTTATTGATACGATGATCATTGCACTGATACTGTTACTTGCTGAAGGTACGGTAGGTGGGCTTTGCTTTTCGTCACGGAAGTTGCAACTGCGGGAGTGGGTGACACGAAGATCGTTGAAAGCCGATGAAACCATATCGGACCAAGTCCGCAACGTTTAGGATTTAGGGTACTCGCGGGCGAGCACTAATCAAGCCTGTGGAAAAAGGGTCACGAGTACACCTCGGCGCGACTCAGCTGTCGTAGCGTGATGTTGCAAGCCAGTTGCAAAAGGGCCCTAACCTTCACCGGTTGCATGGTTGCCATGGGCTTTGTGACTTGTGGCAGCAAGATAGGGCCTGGAGGAGCTGTGTCTATGTGGGTTTCCAAAAGCCTATGTACCCTCAATTGCCAGGGCCTACACCCTTCGACCCCTAAGCCCGCCGCCCCGAGCTCTTGCACCCTGAGTCCAGAGCTCCAATCGCCCTTAGAGAGACCCATAAGAACCCCCAACATCCCTGTAAAACCCAGAAGCCAAGACCCTCACTGCGCTCCAGGCTAGGTCCCTGTCCTGGAGCGAGCCGCCCCCAGCGAGCAACTCGAACCTTTTCAGAAGAGTTGTTCGCCCCATGCTGCAGTTTAGCATTAAGTCGTGTTGAGGTTTAGGCTACAAACAAGGTTTGGGGCTGTTAAGCTTTTAAGCTTCTGACTTCAGACTTTAGAGGGCATCCTTAGCGATGTACACTTGTCGTGCGAGGTGCCTGGTGCCTTGCATTTCAATAGCAAGGAGCACTGAGCGTAACCGTATTCGCACAAGCCAAAGTATGAGTATGAATACATGGTTACATATTTATATATGGATATACATACATATGTACATACATACATCGAACATCGATACATACATCACAATATGCGTACCCAGGTACACCGCACACCCTGCAGCCAAAGCAACCAAAACCCCGCTGACAGATGCCAGGCAGTTCGGTACCTGATTTGGACTCCTTCGAAAACCGCCAGGCGAGGAGCGGACTTCGAATGAGGTGACCATAGGTGTAGGCTTAGGGGTTTAGGGTTCAGGGGTTGAGGGTTTACGGGTTTAGGGTTTAGGGGTTTTTAGGGTTTTGCGTGTAGGGCTTATGTAGGGTTTAGGGCTGAGGGGAATTGAGAGAAGAATTCGAAGGCCAGCCTGATATCCACCCATAGAATCATGCCATGTTGGTGGTGTAGGGGATGAGGGTAAAGACTTCAAATGGCAATCTGCAGGGTTACACCCGCTACACCCCCCCGGGTTTCATTTGGGCGGTGTATTGACAGCCCCGAGAGACCAATACCCTTTCAGGGAGCAAGACTGCTTGAATTATGAGCGCAGCGAGCTCTTAGCACAATTTATATTGCTTCATTGGGGGAACCGTGAACGTTGAATGCTAAGTCCCAGAACCCCTACAAGCCCCAATACCCTCTGGGAAGTTCTCAGCCCGGACCCTTGCCAGGCCACCGCACCCTCAGCGCCCTTGCGCCGGAACTGAGCTTCCGTGGCACGCCGTGAGCACGACCGCTGGGGAAAGCTCCCTGGGAGTTTGCAGTGTTTCGAGAAGCTTACGATTGAGTTTTCGGTTGCCGGATTGTCCCTTAACCTGCACCCTTAATCTTGAACCTTAAACCTGGACCTAAAAGGCTGGCCTCAGGAGTAAAGCTGGTGAGTGCCTCAAACACACAGACTGCAGAGAAGGCAAAGTGGAACCGATGGTTTTTCCGAAGTATGTTTACACGTGTTTGTGTTGACACCCAAACACTCACATAATCACAGATATTCATATTTAACTGTGTGAGTATACATATATACATATATACATACATAAACATGTATTTATTTTTGTTGGCCTTGATTTCTATGTGGATATACATGTATTATGTATATATATATATATATATATGTATTCATTAGCTTGTGTGTTCATATTCATGTATTGACAAAATTTGCATGCTTTTTTACGATGTACATCTATGTACATCTATACAGATTGCGTGCATGTACATATATATATATACATATATATATATATATATATATATATATATATATATATATATATATACATACGCACATATGTGTGTGTATACACACACATATGTATATATATATATATATATATATATATAACAAGTATATGTCTGACTGTATGTCTGTATGTATTAGGTAGGTCGGTACATGTGTGTATAAACAACATGTGGATATGTGCCTGCCTGCCCGCCTGCCTGCTTTGGTGGCTTCGATAATGGACACACGTATTGTAGACCCAGCTAGATAGATCTGTACCTAGACAGCTTTGTAGGTGGATAGGCAGATCGGCCATCTAGCGTGCTAGGTGCATATACAGATAGCTAGATGGGGTTTCATGTGCTCATATTCGATTGTATTTCTGCAGGTCTTCTTATCTCAAGCTGCAAACTCCCTGAATCTCTCAGCCGTGCTTTTTGGGGGCACCGCCCGCGAACAGAGGGGCTTTTGAATGCCCCTGTAGAACCCATGGAGCCCAATACCCTCACGGAATATTGGAGAAGGAGAATGCCATCAAGTTCTAGAATAACGCTAGCAACCCCACACACGCCCCATGAAATCCCAGAAGACCGGTAAAGGAGGCACATAAACAAAAACTTGATGAGTGAAGGGATGACCCTGAGGGCCAGAGTTCCTCATAAACATATACTCACCAAAAGCCTAACCTACAGAACTACTATCCTAAAACCGAGTATCTAAGTCTTGGGTCCTTTGGACCCTTGAGATGAGCTGGGCTCCCTGGAAGTTCCCAAGTTCCACAGTTGCTCAGACCAGGTGATAGCTGGAGGGTCTCGTCATCCTAACACTTGGGCCGGGGGCTAAGGGCATGTATTTGTAACTGTTGTTTCCGGAAGTTATGAATCTAAGCAAACAGCTCATTACTTGGGGTCTATACTTTGTAAACACCCCCTCACAGGCTGTGATGCTTCGTCTGAGGCTTCAGAAGCGGATAAGGGTCCAGGGTGCTGGGGGTGGGGTGTCAAGGGAGGAGTGATTAGAAGTACTAAACAGAACTCCGTGGCAGTTTTGGATACAAGGTTTAGATTGGAATTTACAGGTTCTGGAATTTGGGACAAGGGCTCTTGGAAATCCGGTGCTTTTTTGTGAGCACCGGGTGCCTGATGGCGTGACTGTGCATTCCGATCTTAGGGCTTGAGGTCCAGGGCTCTGCTTATATATACTTAGATCCCCATACCCAACCTGTAAACTTTTTGGGTTCCTACGGTTTAGTAGGAACCGGAGAGTTTGACCTTTCATTTCTGTGGCTTATTGGGGAAGTATGTATACTCCCTGTAAAGGTAGACAGAACCTTATTCTGATTATCATGGCCCGTACCCCATGGGTCGAAGTACCCAATCAATAGTCATAAAGTCTCCAAAATCTTAACCTACACAACTAGTATCCTAAAACCGAGTACCTGATTTTTGGGTCCTTTGGACCTAGGGCACCCGAAGGCGAATAACTGGTCTGAAGCCGCGCCGTTGATGGCTTTTTCCTAGATGGAGCAGGGTCTTCAGCGATGATTTGGTTACCATAAGCTATTTATTGTAGGTTCTTATTATCAACCCTAACTACTACGAGGCCTCTGGGTATGCCCCTTAGATGATTGCGGCGATTTGATTGAGTTTTCTGTGCGGGACATATAATTCATTGGGACCCTTTGAAAGGTAGGGTTTTTTTACCCTAAACCCTAAACCCTAAACCCTAAACTTACTAGCTCAAGGCAGGGGTTCGGGGTTGTGTTTGGGACCGCGGAGTCCGAACTAGTGAATAGTGTACGCGGGTTACCACTATGGGCTATTCGACCCTACAGATCCCTATTAGGACCCTATTAAGGGTAGATTAAGGTACCCATAAGGTCTAATAGCCCATAGTGGTAGGGTCTAGTGTTTAGAAGGCTTTGACAGCGAGAATAGGGTTTCGGTGCATGTGATGCTGTACTGTTCTGGTGACCCCAGACCCCCGGGAGGATCTAGAAAGTAGATCCCCTAATTTGGGATCTACGTTTTGGATCCTCCCGGGGGTCTGGGACTGTAGGGATTGGGAAAGGTCTTGACGGCTTTGACAAGGGCCGCTTTGTTTGCCCAGGGGGACAGGGGATGCCAAGAGGTTAGGGGTTTCGGTGTGTTTGGGGTTTAGGGTTTAGGGCTTTAAGGTGTCGGGGTTTGGGGTTTAGGTGTTTGTGCTATATAGAGGGATGTAGAGGGCGAAGGGTTCAGGAGGTGTTTTGCTCAGAGAGTCCATCACCCCTTAATTCGGGAATCGGCTCTGTTTGGGTTTATCCGGGTTTCCTTTAGGGTGCTATCCCCCTAGACCCTAAACCCTAAACCCCTACAGTAAACCTCATAAAGTTGGAAACCGGATTAAGACCAAATAGTGCTGGGATTCCCTATATATGACTCTTGAGGGTTGAGGCTATTGGGTTTCCAGCTTTTGGGCTCCTACTGTGAACACTAAACCCTAAAGCAGCTATCAGGGTTCAGAGTTAGGGATTCCCAGTTCACTTCTCCGAGGCTTTTTGGGGGTCTGGGTCGCTGTTCGGGATGTTTACCCAGATTTTCGGGAGGGTCCAAAAAGTAGATCCCTTAATGGGGGTTCCTATAAAGTACCCTTAGTAGTATAGGGCCCCAAATTAGGGGATCTACTTTCTAGATCCTTCCGGGGGTTTGGGTGTAGGGGGTTTATGAGTTTGAGGAAGTTGCTTCATAAAGGTAGGCTCGCAGGCCTTAGATTAGGGTTTTGGGGTTGAGGGCTTCAAATAAGCAATTTCGGCTTCTGTGATTCAGGACTTTGGCGTTTAGGGTTGTGGAGCATGGAGTATATGATTTAGGGTTGCTGGGCTTACGGTCTAGGACTGAAGAGGACCACGTCCTGACATTTGCCTCCCAGAAAGCAGATAGTCGCCTGTTGCAAAAGACGTGTGTCCTGGGGTTTCCGAAAATAGGGGGCCCCTGATATCGTACCCTAAATAGTAGGGTCTTTATAATAAGGACCCCAGATCAGGGACCCTTAATTTTCTGAAGCTCCGTCAGGGCCGAGTAGTATAGGGCGAACAGGGTTCGGCCTGCAGGCTTCGCCGTTTAAAGCGTTGAGGGTCTTGGGCGGGGGTTTAGGGTTTAGGGTTGTCTAGTGTACTGCAAGGGAACTTAACCCTGATATCGACACCAAATAGTAGGATCCTTGTTCGAGGACCCTTAAATGAAGTACCCCCCTCCCCAAGTTCAAGAAGTTCCCGCTTCAGTCGCACATCAGCAGACTGCATGTGATGGCTGGAGTTCGATATCAATAGAGTGAGGGCCATTTGCAGGTTCAAGCAAGCACAACGCACAGTTACAGCAACAGGAACAGAACTGCCCCTTATCCAAAGAGCATCGGCGTGTGTCCACATCTCTTTCCCGGCTAAATCCTGCAATAGCTAAGCACTGAACCTATGGACCATGAGCAAGGACTGGTTGCATGATGGGTCCTGCTTCGTGTTCAGGCGTTGGTTTTTGGGTGTCGGTCCTACGTGCTAAGATTCCGAAAAGATCACATGTGCGACATGCGTGAGTGAAAGTAATGCTGAATGAACTTGCACATTTGCGCAAGCCCCCCCCCCCCCGTCAATGGTTCGTAGTTCGCCACCGATTTGACACCTAGGGTCATCCATGGAGTCTCTATAGGAGTGGCATGGAGTTGCATACCCTTCAAAGCGTTCGTTGAGCGCATGCTGGCTAATCATGTTCTTGAATCGCAAAGTGACGTGTCGGAAGCAAAGGTAGGCTGCCATGGGTCGTACTCTGTCTGCTTGCTTTGCCCCTCGGTGGTAGACCACCTTGCGGCCCTAAAACCCTGAACCCCTTCCCAGCTCTACGAATTCAGAGCATGACGCAGATTTCTCCACACTGAAGTCCTGCCTTGAAGCCGACTTCACCGTTCGAGTTCAATGACCGGCAATATCCTAAACCAAACCCCACAGCCCACCTGCCTAGTGGCTCGTTCAGCAATGCAGGAGGCAAAATCTCCAACGACTTTCAACAGCGAACCATAGAATCCTGAAGCACGAACTGCTAAAGCCCGAAAGCCCTTAACTACAAAGCCCAAAGCCCGAAACAGGCCCGAAAGCTTCGCAGCCCTATGCAGCCTTGGACGCACGACGTGACTTTTGCCCTGAAAGCCGGGTGCAGGACGCCGATGCGATGGACTCGAACTTCGGAAAGCTTCCTGTCCGTGGAAGTGAGGGCCGATAGGGCTGGCCCCAGAGCCTTTAGAGCTGAGTTGTTCAGTTTGGGCGTTTGTCGTGTATGTTGTTTAGGTGGGGGGGGAGGGGGGGTTGGGCAGGGCTTCTCCCACCCGAGGTGATGCGATTAACGGGCTTTTGGGGTTGTGAGGGTTTGGTTTCTTGTTTCAGCACTCCTAGATTTTTCAGGTCTTGCGGAATTCTGTGCTTCAGCGTTCAGTGTATGTTGCATGCGGTAGGCCTTCTGG